TACTTTAGGGTTGTATTTCAAAAATATTGTTAGTCCGTTAGTACGCATTATGCGTAAGGAACAGTATCTGTTCATATTTCAACAAAATTTACAAGATGAAGTCGAAAAAATGAGAGTTTCTGCTGAAAAATCACCCAAAACATGCTGCACATGTTCGCAAAGACTGGATGCAAAAGCAAAAATTTGCTATTTTGAAATGACCTCCACAATCCGCGGATATGAATCTCGTCGAAAATTTGTGAAATCAACTAAAAGCGCAGCTTACTAAGTATCCAAGTCCGTCCAATGGAGTACATGAGCTATGAAAGCAAACCAAGGATATATGGGAGGCTATACCTCCAGAATTTTTATAGAGATACAAATAAGGTATGCCAAATTGCATCCAGGAACTAAAAAAAGCAAAAGTATACTGAACATTGTGTTAACAATTCTTTTTTTCGTGAAAATTGTAAAAAAGTTATTAAAAATATATAAGTTCAAAACTGTAACATATGCCTTAATTTACATTTTTGTCTACTGGTTTTATTATTGTTGTTGGATTGACTTCAATTCGTTATGAGAGAGGAAGTACAGGGGTACCAATAAGAATATACAACAAAAGTATGAATGTCGTTAGAACTTGGAATAGAGTGGCGGCTGATATAAAAAGCGTTACACCATGTTACAGTTTTGCTCGTCACTGTACGTGATTCGTGCCCTGGTTTTGACAATTAAAAATATTCAATGGGGTTTAGAATCATCGCATTTATTTTAAGGCATTTGGATTACACTTTAGGATCAACAATTTTAGCTGGTGGCCAATTCCACTGTTTTGGTGGTGGAGGCTTTACTAAAGATTCCCACGGTTTCCATCCCAGCATTTTTCTTGCCAATATAAGTTCATTCTCTGCTTGCATTATCAATTCTTCCACTTGTCCAGATGCAATTTTATTTTCCAAAACGGTTACTTCTTTGTGCTGAAAAGAAAAAAAATATTTATACAAAAATTATCCTCGAGGCACTGACCAAATGTCGGCTTGCTTTGCATGCTTTACTTTGATTTTTTTTAACTTTGGAAGATTCTTTGGTCAAATGTAGGCTTCGAACTCTCTTAAAGCACTCACCTGTGTAGTTGCAAGTGTGTGTTCTACCAATATTACCAACTTTTTACCTTAATTATTATTTTTTAATTATATTAAATTTCACAGCTTTGTATTACGGGATGCGGTTTAAGGCTGCAGAGAGGAGAAAATGGAAAAGTTGAACTCGAAATCCTGATCAGAAATACTAGGGGTCTCCACCCTGAGGTTGGTACTCGGTAACTCGGTGTTCCCCATGTTTTTTGTTTGTGTAAAATTTTTTTATTAGCGGTTTACCGATTACCGAATTATCGTGGTGGCAAGCTTGATAATTTTTCTGGTAGTTGGTAAACTGATCAGCCCGCTGTCGAAAGGTATAACGCAACCGGGTAAGTAGAATTCATAAAATTTTCTGCTACAATTTATTTTTTTATAGGGAAAAAGGTACGAACCAGCTGTTAATAAACATATGACCCTATTATGCATGGCGACTGGGGTCTAGGTGCTGGTCTAGTGGCCATGGCTACCAGTATCGTAATTTGTATTATGTATAGCGATTAATCTCAGCATACAGAAAAGCGCAGACATCCGAATTTACTTTTTT